GAATGTGATACATGGACACAAACATGTGATCAACCTGTCCGTTCATTTTTCCAAGATAATTAATAAGTACTTTGCAATTAATTTTATAAATTAAATAATTGATGAAGAAATCTAGATCAAAATTAAGTATAAACAGTAAATCTATTACAAGCATGAAATTACTTGTTTTCAGTTTTTTTACACATACGCATACACTATATATATATATATAATATATCTATATATACATTTTTGGAACACTTTTAGCAAATAAATCCTGAGGTTGGGCAGTATTTACAAAGAATGTCATTGGAATTAATTATTTAATTTCGAAAATTTAAATCAAAGATATTAATTGCCAAAAAAATCTTAACATAATATCTTAGCTATAACTAATCATTTCCATAATATCTTAAAGATATTAATTAATTTTGACAAAATCAATTTTTTTAAGTAATTCATTTTTTAAATATATTTATTTTAATGTACATTAATTAAATTATGGTTACTATTCGTTATTTTACAAACTCATTTTGCTATATCTACTATACATTTTTGCAGCAGTTTTTTGGGTATCCAAATCAGGTCAAATTTGTTTAATTTTGACCCGGAAATCTTCAATCGGATCTTTCTTTAAATTTTGGCAAAATTAAAAAACGAAAATAATTAATAAAATCTAAAATATATATACTTTCTCAACTAATTACTATATTTAAACGCTTTATTTATGGTATATTTTCCACGATTTTTATAGATAAAGAAATCAAATATTATGATTTAATGCTAATATAACAAATTTGCACTAATTTCCTAAAACCTCTCTACCTAATTTAAACATAAATATATGATTCTTATTTCACTTTTATTTGATCTTATATTTATATTATTTTAAATTATTATAAAATATATAAATAGTTAGTAAATTTTAGTTTTTTTTTTTCTGCATATGTTACAATTCAAATTTTTTAAAACGGACATATATTACTCAATCGATGAATAAAAATATGTGTGTAATCTATATTAATATTTTTAAGAACAAATTAAGCATTTAATCATGTCGTTATTTTATTCAGACCCGAAATTGAGTCATTCAGATCTTTCTTTAATTTTTACAATTATCTAAAAAGGGACAGTATATCACGGGTGAAATCCTAATTAGTATTTTAAGATACAATTATAAATTGTTTTTACAGGTTGGTCCAAAAACACACACTAATTTAAAAATATACATGGAAACTATTTGAAAGCAACTTTCAAATTAACTCGAATTATATGATATTTAAATAAAAGTGTTATTAAAAAAATAACAAAATGATGTTTAATTTCATTTTAGATTATATGGTTGGACGGGTTTGGGTCAATATTAATACGAGACAATATACCACAGGTGAAATCCTATAAATAACAAATCAAAATACAATTATACAATCTTAAACACTAAACAAAACAAATACAACTTAAAATTTTTTATTTTAGATACAACGCATGTGACCCGCGGTATACAACAAAAAATATTATACACAATAAATTCATCAATTTATAAAAATAAAAAAATCAAATAATTAACCCGCAGTGTACCGCGGGTCATATCCTAGTTACTTATTATAAACCAAACTCATTTTGGCTATAAATAATTTATTTAGTTATAAATTAGATTAACTCCAAAAAAACATTATTACCAAATATATAAATATTATTTATGTCTACGGAAAAATATGTTATTTTAGATTATTATTATTATTTCATAAGGTTTCAAATATTATGAATATTTTAACTTTATTACAATTTTATATATTATTAATTTTAAACTTATAAGGAATTTAAATATTATAAATATTTAAATTTTAGAAAACTTTTAAAGTATCTATAATATTTCAATTCTATAAAAAAGTTTATATATTAATAACATTTGAACTCTATAAAAATTATAAATATATATACTATAGAGACAATTTAAAAGCAAACTTTTAAATTTACTCGAATTATATGTCTTCTAAATAAAATTATTATTAAAAAGAAAAATAACATGATGTTTAATTTCACGGGACGGGATTATATGGTGTGACGGGTTTGTGTCGATATTAATACGGAACGATATACTACGAGTGAAATCTTAGAATTAACAACCAAAATACAATTATGAAGTTTGGGTCGATATTAAAACTTTTATGAAGTTTCAAATATTATAAATTTTTAAACTTTATAAGAATTTATAAGAAGTTTAAACATTGTAAATATTTTAAGATAATAAAACGTTTAAAGTATTTATAATATTAAAATTTTATAAAAAGTTTATAATATTAATGATATTTGAACTCTATAACAATTAAATATATATATATATATATATTATGGGAGCCGTTTAAAGCAAACTTTTAAATTGACTCAAATTATATATGTCTTTTAAATTAAAATATTATAAAAAACAATAACAAAATAATGTTTAATTTCACGGGACAGGGTTATATGGTATGACGGGTTTGAATCAATATTAATACGAGGCGGTACTACGAGTGAAATCGTATAATTAACTATCAAAATACAATAAATGCTAAACAAAATAAACAATATTAACAAAATAAATTCAACTTAAAATTTCAATTTTTAGTTATCAAAAATCGACCCGTGGGTTTAATGCGGAGTAATATATATATAATAAGTACATTTAAATCAAAAAAACAATAGATAATTTTCAAAAAATTTATAGCCCCGCGGTGTACCGCGGGTTAAAATCTAGTTTTTATAAGTAATTGTGAAAAGGGCGATTACAGTTTTTGCAGTCACAGAAGCCTGTGGACCATTCTCCTTCTGCCAGAGGCTTAGCATGAAATTGAGCTTCCATAGGGTGAGAAATACAGAGAGATTTAAATAGAAAGCAATGTCTTTACGGTTTTGTGACCTAAACGAAGTATGATGCTTGTATTTATAAGGACATTAATTCCATTATTTTTGAACTCGTCGGAACCTCGACTTTTTAAAATCATAAAATAAGTCATATGTTTTTGTTTTATCTTGAAAGTAGGGAATATTGCAAAATCTACCACATTTTAACAACTGGTATTCAAAATCTACCACAATCTCAAAAAACTTTCAAAATCTACCATATTTCAATAGCACATGTGGAATGCTGGACCAAAATACCCCTGATTGGGACAGAGTCTGTGTCAAGGACATAGTCTGTGTCAGAGACAGAGACAGTTTTGTCTGGCGCTTCCAAAGAAGGAGCAGGTCTACAATAAATGCTGCACGGTTATTTAAATAATATGTTATATCAGGGACAAATTCAGATCTAATGAGTAATATAATTAGATCATGGACAAATTCAGATCGAATGAGTGATATAATTAGATCGAAGACAAGTTCAGATCGAATGGGTAATAGAATTAGATCGGGGACAAGTTCATATCGAATGAGTAATAGAATTAGATCGGGGACAAGTTCATATCGAATTCAGATGGAATGGGTAATAGAATTAGATCGGAGACAAGTTCAGATCGAATGAGTAAGAGAATCAGATCGAATATGTTATATCGGGGACAAGTTCAGATCGAATGAGTAAGAGAATTAGATCGCAGACAAATTCAGATCGAATGGGTAATAGATATCGATCGAGGACAAGTTCAGACCGAATGGGTAATAGAATTAGATCGGGAACAAGTTCAGATCGAATGAGTAATAGAATTAGATCGGGGACAAGTTCAGATCAAATGAGTAATAGAATTAGATCGGGGACAAGTTCATATCGAATGAGTAATAGAATGAGTAATAGTACTCGGGGACAACTGGATCTTTTTGTTATTTTGCAATTGAAGGAAAAAAAATTCAATAATTAGGGTAGGTGAAGACAATAATGCTCAACTAATCTGTGGACCAAAATAGATGGTGAAAAATCTAAATAAAATTCGAAACCCTTAAATGAGAACAATTGGTGGACAAGATGTGGAATTCATGATAATAGAGCAAGATGATGAAATCGGGGACAAGATCTAGACGCAACAGAGAATTTCCAATCGGGGACAAGATCTGGAGACAAAAACGAAAGTTAATTGTTTAGTCTCAGAAGATATAATGTTTATTGGTTAAAGTGCACATGTTTCGAGGGAGAGAGAGATAAATAGAGAAGCTAATGTTATAGGGAAGATAAATAGGGAGGAAAAATAATTAGGGAGGAAAGATAAAAAGGAAGATAAAAAGGGAGGGCAAAATGGTAACTCTACATCAAAATGTGGTATGAGTTGAAAGAAAGGAAGGAATGTGGTAGATTTTGAAAGAAATTGGGAATAAGTGGTAGATTTTGTAGTTTTTCCTTGAAAGTAGCCATCACCATTTATCTTGAAATCATAAACCAAGTCTTTCTAGTTTTTTTTTTTTTCAGGAATCTATTTTTATTTGTAATAGATAATGTTTGATATATCAAAATAAATTTTATTCAACAAAGATTACCATGTAGATTTTTCATGGAGAGATTTTTAAACATTTTTCTAAAAAAAATTATTAGTTTTATCACATGCATACACACACACACACATCTTCGAAGAGTATCAATTGGATGTACCTACCCAATTCCTAGAAAATAAAGAAGAAACTTAAAATTTTTCGTGTCATTTGAACATAGCTAAAATTGGGATTGAGCTGAGCTGCAACTTTTAAGGGTTTTAAGGCTGTGTTTGCCGACGGTCTCTTACAAATATCGGGAAATTAGTGTTGACTGGACTCTATATATATGCAGAATATAGATAATTTAATATATAAATATTTTTGTATTAATATTATAAAATCATTTCTTTGTTATATTTGTATTTCCAGCAACCTCAAGATATTATTTTCTTGTTTTAGGTTTAGACTAATCTTCCGATTAATGTTCGTTGAAAGACGAATAGAAAGACAAAATACCGCAACATCCATAAAAAAAGGACCAAAATATTGTTTTGGTGTAACTTCAACGACGTTGTAATTTAACACTTGTAACTTGTGATACATTGGGATATACATTAAAGAAATACTCATGTTCAAACTTTCCCAACAAACATATTACACAGCACAAACGACGACAGAGGATTATACCTCGTTTTTTATTACACATATGACAACTTATGATTTACATAAAGAAAATAAATCTTAGCGGGTCATGCCACCTTGGACGGCTGGAGCATGCACCCATCGCCACACCTCCTTGAGTTTGTTGCCTCTCCGCATTCCCCGCCCATCCTAAATAAAATACCACATTAATATTTAAACGAGTGTTAACAGTTTTGAGATTACACTAAACAAATCAATCAGAAACAAGAGAAAAAAAAAAAGACGTATAAAGAAGAAAAAAAGTACCAACACTCTTATCGAAACCGCGGTGCTTGAGTTCACGGTATTGTTGGGTCAAAGCACAAAGCTAACAGCAGCAATGTTTAAGGCAATCAGTACAAGCATCACCTCTAATATTGTATTGAGCTCTTATCTTTCCGCGATAGAAACACGAGAACATCCATGCAGAATATGTGAGTACGTTTATCAACGTGTATAATGCTCCAGCCGCACAACACTCCGAAAATTTTCGAACCATCAATTATTTAGCATTAGCTTTTGCTGCAGCCAAATTTGACAAGAGCTTTTTTATGATACCGTGTATTGTATAAGTTAACTTACCGATGGATCCTCGATCTACAATCTCAGCGACTTGGCCGAATGTGATACATGGACACAAACATGTGATCAACCTGTCCGTTCATTTTTCCAAGATAATTAATAAATACTTTGCAATTAATTTTCATAAATTAAATAATTGATGAAGAAATCTAGATCAAAATTAAGTATAAACAGTAAATCTATTACAAGCATGAAATTACTTGTTTTCAGTTTTTTTACACATACGCATACACTATATATATATAATATATTTTTATAAGTAATTGTGAAAAGGGCGATTACAGTTTTTGCAGTCACAGAAGCCTGTTGACCATTCTCCTTCTGCCAGAGGCTTAGCATGAAATTGAGCTTCCATAGGGTGAGAAATACAGAGAGTTTTAAATAGAAAGCAATGTCTTTACGGTTTTGTGACCTAAACGAAGTATGATGCTTGTATTTATAAGGACATTAATTCCATTATTTTTGAACTCGTCGGAACCTCGACTTTTTAAAATCATAAAATAAGTCATATGTTTTTGTTTTATCTTGAAAGTAGCCATCACCATTTATCTTGAAATCATAAACCAAGTCTTTCTAGTTTTTTTTTTTTTTCAGGAATCTATTTTTATTTGTAATAGATAATGTTTGATATATCAAAATAAATTTTATTCAACAAAGATTACCATGTAGATTTTTCATGGAGAGATTTTTAAACATTTTTCTAAAAAAAATTATTAGTTTTATCACATGCATACACACACACACACACATCTTCGAAGAGTATCAATTGGATGTATCATCTATTATAATTTCTTAAAAAGTACCTACCCAATTCCTAGAAAATAAAGAAGAAACTTAAAAATTTTCGTGTCATTTGAACATAGCTAAAATTGGGATTGAGCTGAGAAAGAAAGCCTTTGCTCCAAACCAAGTGTTGATGCTGATGGGCCTTCGAGTAATAGGCCTACTATAAGTCTTACGGGCTTCATTGTAGTTATGATTCGAGGAATTTAACTAAACCCAAAGAGAAGTAAACAACCAAATATTTCGTTGAAAAAAATACAACCACCAAATATTTCTTTTATACTTTTCTTTTTATTGTTTTTTTCGTAACCAATCAAATAAGTTTTGGAATTTACAGAAATTTCTAGTATTGATATGATTAATATTAATGTTTACAGTGAAAACTTCTAATTCTAATATGATGTTAATGCATAATACAGATTTTTTTTACTAATATATGAAGGCTTCAAATTCAATCATATATTAAATAATCATATCTGAATATCTCTAACATTGATTTTTTATTACTAACCAAGCATATAATATGTGTTAAAACTTAATATGAATGAGAATGATTTAAACGAAAAAAAATAAAGAATGATTTAAACGTTACTAATTAAAATCCTATGTATATAATAAATAATATATTTAGTCGCCTACCTCCCCACTATAGTCGATAGGTATACACACTCATTTTTCCAAAAGCATTTTAAGTGGACTTTTCTTCTTAAGAAGCATGATATCGTTTACTAAAACGATCATGACATCATTTTATTTTCTTCATATACTCCATCTGTTCTTAATTATTTCATGTTTTGAGGTTTTTACACATATTAAGAATATTCAATCATTTTTTAATTATTTGAACATTAATTTTGATATTACATATTTTAAAATAATTATCAACCATAATCTAAGAAAGTTAATTATTTTCAATCATTACGTCTTGAAGTTTACGATTTATTAATATAAATCAATAAAAATAAAGAAAAAATTAGAAAATCAATCTTTGTGGGACAAATAACAAAAACTAAAATATCAATTTTTTAAAAACAGATGGAGTATAGTATCACTAGGTAGTCTCTTGGGTTATAACAAAAATTCAAAAAATTCGAGTCATAGATTTTTCTCCTAAATCTTGATCAAACAGATCCAACACTAAAATAAGTAAAATCTAAGAAGGTGTCTATTTAAAAAAAAAAAAAGGCATTATTATTCAATGAGTTGGAGCATTTTGAGAAAACTAGTAATGGAATGTTAATAATTACGCGTGCAGATATTTTCTTCTCGGATAATTTACTTTTATTTGGCAAAATCAATGAGAGTAGGCGAATCTCCACATACTCCATCCTTAACTTGGTGAGTGAGTGAGTCCCATCATAATATTCACCGTACGATTTTTCCGTGGTCGAGATTGCAACTGGTTATCTCCACCCAAAATCTTACTTGCGAGTTGCCACCCATGCCTAGTTTAACATTTGTGTCCATACTCACATTTATAAACAAAAAATGCATACAAAATCTAGTTATTAATAGTTTAAAAACTGAAATGTTATGATTATTTTTTGGCCGTTGATATGTTATGATTTTATTTGAAAATTATAAAAATATAATATGGAGTAGATAACCATAAAGAATGTAGTTCCTTTTAAGGTACGGCTAAGAGTGAATCTACCAAGCCTTCCTTTTCACACCAACCATAGATATAAAAAAATAAATACACCCGACAAAATGATTAGTGGCCATAATGTGATATAATGAGCATGAATGGGTAAACATGTCAAATTTCTCCATTGCTCAATGCCTACATAAACCTTCCAATCTCACATGTAAACTCGTAACAAGAAATAAACAGAGTTAAAAACTTTATACTTTAAAATGGGAAGTAAGCTTTATACGACGACGTTTCTCAACTTAGTCACCTTACTCTTCATTTTCCGGACAATCTCAGCCGTCCGTTTCCCTCCGGCACAACCAACAACCGACGACCTAGATTTCATCCGTACTAGCTGCAACGCAACGCTTTATCCAGACGTATGTTTCACGTCTCTAGCTGGATACGCCTCCGCCGTCCAAGATAATCCGGCGAGACTAGCTAAACTCGCAATCGGCGTTTCTCTCTCCCGCGCAAAATACACGGCGGCTTACCTCTCCAAACTCTCACGTCGCACTGCCTCAGCCGCCGTCCACGACTGCGTTTCGAACGTTGGAGACGCCGTAGATCAGATGCGTGGCTCCCTAAGGCAGCTTCGAGAGATGAACCACCGTCGTCCCGGAGCTCCGGCGTTTAGGTTTCAGATGAGTAACGTGCAGACGTGGATGAGCGCGGCGTTGACGGACGAGGAGACGTGTACGGATGGGATCACGGAGGAGATGGAAGACGGAGAGACGAAGACGGCGATTTGCGATAGAGTCGCCGATGTCAAGATGTTCACGAGTAATGCGCTTGCTCTCGTTAACACTTACGCCAATAATGGAGCCTAAGCAAAGCTAAGCTAGGTCTTGAAACCCTAAAGTTATAAAAATACTTGTATATATAAAAATGTGTCAAGTGTGCTTAGTTTTTTATGTGTATTCGAGGCTTTGAAACCGAGTTAGAACTCTGAGTTTTGTGTATTCAAATTATACATAAATCTATGTTTGATTGTATTAGTATATGTCGCATGTGTTTTATATCGTGTGTGCTATATGAGTGATGGAGATAATTATAGATGGTTTTGATGAACAAATTGGATACATGAACCGATTAATTTGGATTTGAATATGATATGCCATCATGTCTAATTGTCTATTGTCTAATGGGAACTGAAACCCGTGAGATGATTAGAACATCTGACTATGACCTCAAAGTTTGTCTATTTGTGGCCCACTTTAAAATCTTTACGAAAACAAGGTTTTGTCATTTTTGTTCACGGAGATGCCAATGTACAAATTTGTTATAATACTGTACCAATTAAATTATAATAATAAGTTTGGTGCAAAATAATAAGCTTTTTGATCAACAAATGGACCAAAAAGCTTCGACATTCTGTTCTCAGTTTCTATTTTAATCCCGACTGATAATGATTACACACATTTCACTTCATAGACTTTTCTAATTGAAAACCCCTTTGAAAATTTCAACTCCCGCGCTGATTTCCACAGTGGTTTACTTCTTCTGCTAACTGTAGCATAAAATTAGTGTAATAGAAAATAGATGACAATAATGAATGAACCAATTTCATAGTTTTCCCTAAGTGTGAAAATGAAATTAAAGAAGCAATTGTTCAACAAAAGAAGCAACATTTAACATAACACAATGCAAAATCATAATAATAATACACAGTCTAAGTAACAACTCTAATGTTATATCTTATCTCCTTAAAAGGACTAAGCAACAACACACACAATTTCTAAAGTTTACAATCCAAATACTGAAAGAAATTCAAATAAATCTAATTAAGCTAAAGCACTCTCTTTCTCTCTAAGAGATCCCATTTTGCAGTAACTAAAGCTTCCGAAATTGCATAAGTACCGAATAATTCAACACCCAACCGGCGCAACCACCGTCGTCTTCACCTTCGGTGGTCTCCCACGTCCTCTACGCTCACCGGTTGCCTGAGCTGCCGGCTCCGGCGCAGCAACCGTCTCCGCATCTGTTCTCGATCTCTTCGGTGGTCGTCCTCGTGGTCTTCCAGATCCGGTTGTGACCTTCTCCTTAGGCGGCTCCGATGGATCTTTCGGCTTCGGTGGACGACCGCGAGATCTAGGCGGATCTGCGGAAACAGCGGCAGCAGCAGCAGCGGCGGCGTCAGATTCCGCCTGAGTTTTCTGCTTCGGAGGACGGCCACGACCACGCTTAGGCGGAGCATCTGGATCTGGCTTCATATAATTGTTCTTCACCATGATAAGCTGACCATTCTTCTTCATCTGGTTGAGATGGTAGCTGAGCAGCGTCGTGTGTGACGGCGGTAGAGTTTGTTGAGTTGACTCGATGTGCTTAGCAATCGTCGTTTTGTTGCAGCCATTCTTATCGTTCAAGGACTCAATCGCTTCCATTATCATCTAAACGCAAAAATTGTTCAACCAAAAATTCAGAAACGAATTTGAAACAAATCTGAGAGAGATTTGAAGGATTTACTTTACCTCAGGATAAGGTGGGAGAGAAATCGACGGAGATTCTGATGAATGCGGCGTATCTGAAGCTGAGCCATGGTGGAGATCGAAGGCCATGTCAAGCGTAGAGAGAGTGTGAGAGAGGAGGTGGTGAAGGAAGGAATCTGTGTTGGAGGGATTTAAAAAAGCAATTGGGAAAGTGGTTTTCTCACTATTCTCAATTAACTTGTAGTGTTGATCGGACGGTTGGGGTTTTCAAACTTACGGATTCATCCAACGGCTCTTAGTTTATAGCAGCTTTCTCCTGCAGGATTAATGACGTGGACAAGCGAGAATGACTTCTGACTTTTAGACTTAAAATGACTTAATTCTCCTCCAATTTCAAAATTTGGCCATTGTTTACAGTCTCGCTCGATAGTAGAACAGAAAACGACATAATACGTGGCGTTTTTGCTAATCATATTTCAAATTATTTTGTTATATTGTAGTATAACCCAAAGAAAAAAAATGAATTTTACATTTATATATTCAACCCCAAGTCTTTCCCTATAAGCAGACAAAGATTTGACAGACTCGAAGAAAGAAGGAGTCCGAAGTTAGAGTGTCACCGAACCGGAAATGTTAATCACGCCTGCTATTTTGGAGTCTCAATGCCATTCTAATATGTGTTATTTTCATTTTATCCTTAATGAATATTTTTTATTTAATTAATTATTAAAAATTAAAACCAAAAAAAATTTGCTCGCATCCTCACCTCCGATTCTCTCCTCCCAAACCAGAGCTCACCTTGCCGATCTCGCCGCCCGCCGTCTCTCTCAGTCTCTCCTCACCGACAAAGATCACGGCTTTTTTCTCTGTTTAATCGACGGAATCTCTCGTCTTAATTTTTTTTTCTTCTGGTAGATCGATCCAGCTACGAGATCAATCATTAATCCTGAATAGTAAGAACCTTCTTCTTCTTCTCTGATTGTTCAGATCGATTATAGCTTCTTTGAAATTTGTAACTTGTTATGTAATTTAGTTTCTCTTTAGATTTTCTTCGGATCATTTTTTTACAAGGAGATTCGTGAAATTAACTTTATGTTGATACCGGCTTTTGTTAATCTGTCTTATCAATTTCTTGATTTGGAGTCTCGTTTTCGTTGATTGGAATTTTGATTAGATCTATAATAAATATTGGTTGAGATCTGTTGTTTCTCTTGAATACAAAGATGATTCTCCTAGTTTGAAATTTCTAGGTGTTTGTGTGAATCCATAGTCGATTTGGATTATGGTGTTTTGAGATTGCGTTTTGAATTTCGTGATTGTGAAAATGGCGTTTAGAAATCTATGAGCTTCTTCACTATGTGTAGCACCTTTGAAATATGTCTTAAACTTCCTAATATAGCTGGAGAAATATCAATATGCTTTATCTCTTACATGTGTCTTATGCTTCTTTTGACAGCCAAGGTAATATGCTTCAGAAGTTCGTCACAGTTAAAGGTTCTTTGAAACTTTTCTGTTTTGTCTTAAGGATTTACTGTAATAGTTGTTCTGTCTACACAGGCTTTCGCAGATGAACTTGGAATCCCATTCTTGGAAACAAGTGCTAAGAATGCTACCAATGTCGAAGAAGCTTTCATGGCCATGACTGCTGCAATCAAGACAAGGTAGCGCGCTAATCATTATTGTATTGAGCTCATATATTTATTACACATTACAGACCAGGAGCCTTAACCGGATTTTGTCTTGCAGAATGGCGAGCCAACCTGCAGGAGGATCTAAGCCACCAACGGTCCAGATCCGAGGACAATCTGTTAACCAGCAATCAGGTTGCTGCTCCTCTTGATTCGCTTTGGTAACACTTAACCATATTATCATTCGTTTGCATGTAAGAAATCTAAACAACGTTGCTTCTTATATCTTATACTTTTGTATTTGGTTTTTTAATTTTTCACTTATGTCCAAAAGCTTTTAAATTCTTTGTAATGGTACTTGGATTAATAAACTCCTTTAGTAAAAGTTCCTTCTTCTTAGGAAATGTACACACGTAAATAAAACTGAAACCTATATAACACACGAAAAATGGAGAATGGTTGATTTTTTTGCCTCATTGACTTTTAAAACTCCCAAAATTGGGTTTGTAAAACAAAAGCCATCCAGATACTTACCAGTTTGATGAAGACTTCATATGATCAACTAGTTCAACTACGTTTATTGTATTATGATTTTTATTAAATTATAATAAATTGTAAATTAAGATTTATATGAAAAATTCTCCAAAAAAATCTTCAAATATAAAAATAGACTATTTGAAATCAACACAACCAGAATTTATCAATTTCGTAACTATTTTTTTCATTTTCACATAACACAGTTCTTCTAATATAATGAAGATTTAGTAAGTGATCATCTCATATGAAGTAAAAGAGGTGAAATCCAAGTTTTTCTGAACATTGTATTCTGAAAACCTCTTAAACGATAATTAATAGTGTAACATCATTTGTCCAACTAGAAATTACTAATTTTCATTTAAGTCCAACCGGAAATACACAAAAATCGCAAAAGTCCAACTATGAATATGACAGCACAACTGGACAACTAGGTACAACTATGTTTAAAACAAAACAATTTTTTATTAATATCATGATGTCTTTGACCCACCTTACCACACGTGTGATGATTTAAAATTAATATTCCGCCGCCTAAAATCATGCTTACGTCATCTTTAATTATTTTTTTAAAAAAAATTTATTTAATACCAATTTTAATTAACTTTTTATTTTTTAAAAGGTTATTTTTAATTGTCTCAGTTGTACCTAAATGATCTAGTTGTACTTTTTTATAAGTAACTCATACACGTAGTTGTACCTAAATAGACCAGTTGTACCTACAAAACCAATTGAACATAAATATAATCTAAATATTTTTTTGGTTTACAATAACACGAAGTCATATGTTCTTAATCCACAACACAACAAAATACAGATAATTTTTTACAACTGTACAACTACGTTTATAACAAACAATATTTTATGAATATCCCGCTGTCTTTGGCCCAAATTACAGCACGTGCGATGATTTTAAATTAATATCCCGCCGCCATAGGTCTATTTTTATTTTATTTTTCACGTCAGTCATATTTAAATCTATTTTAATATCAATTTTAATTATTTTTTTTTTTTAAAGCTCAAAAGGACCTTGTAGTTGTACCTAAATATACCAGTTGTACATTTACGTAGTTGTACTTAAATATATCAGTTGTACCTAAATAAACGATTGCATACAATATGTTTAGCGATCTTGTCCTTATGCGGCACCAAAATTATCGTTATGTAATATGTCAATGCCAAAAATCATGTGTCTAACTACTAATAAATAATTTGTATCATAGTCCAACTACAAATACGAAAATATTGTCAAAGTGCAACTATGAATATGAGAGTACAACTGTACATATATGAGTATATCGAGCCGCCAAATCCAAAAATACACTTTAGTCGGATCCACAACTGTGCACTTTACCACACACGGGATGATTTTAAAACATTTCAAATTGTAAACATTTAATAACTTTTTTTCTTCTTTTTCAGTTTAACCGAATAATTAGATTTTAATTGTACCTAATAAATACAGTTGTACCAAATAATTAGATCTTAGTTGTACCTTAAAAATACAGTTGTACCAAAATACATAAACAAAAAAATCCATTTTTTACAGTACATATACATGATAATATTTGAATTGTATTTCTTTTTAAGATTAAAACACACAAAAATGTATTTCTTTTTTGACGAAAATATATTAAATTGAAACTGATGTTTTAGTAGCATATGTCGGAGAAAACAAGATCGAATCAATGATGATGAAGATGAAGCGGACGACATGTCATCGAACTCAGAAGCATAAAATTACAACGAATCGCCACACTGAGCTCTCTTTTAGAGATTCATAGGTTTCTGCCGAGAACTTGACGGTTAGGTTCGTTGATTTGATCTTCATTGCTGAAGAATTGATCCTTAAGGATACTGATTATTGAATTGCTTTTAAAGGACTGCTTTGATCTATCTAACAATTATGATCAAGCAATTGAAGAAGCATAAGTAATAACAATAACAAAACACCTAAATTTGTGAGAGATATTTGGTTAGAGAAATGGAAAGATCATCATCAGATCCAAGATAGCAAAGCATGAATTTACACTAAGGATCGTACTACATTTGAGAAGTAATCGGTCGGCGAGTCTTGGTGTTGCCGCCGACGTGGTTAACTTGAAACCCCATGAGAGCACTCTTACCATTGGTCTGCTGTCCCACCACGCTTTGGACGACGTCTCGAATTCCTGCGCCAAAGGGACTCATTATAAGCCTCGTAAAGACTCCACCGCTCCTCAATCGCCGTCTCTGCCGCAGCGCCGTCTTCCTCAACCGTCTTTGACTTGGTGGCCACTGACAGGTCCGACATCGTCTCTTATGAGGATGAGCAGAGGATGAGTGTGAGTCTTTCTACTCTTCTGTCATGAAATTTGCAGATCCAGCAAATATAATTTCCTTCTACAATTAGGAATTTAGTATTATTCATCCTTGGATCGAGTCAGATAACCCGTTTGATTTGATTTGGGTCGGATTGCTTTGGTTGGATCTGTAGTTTCTAATTTTCTTAAAAGTTTTTTTGGACATTTCCATCATTTTTGATTTTAAAAAAAATGGTAAATAAAATTACAAACAAGAGGATGACATTCTAGCTTTTTTTTTTCTGAGAAAGTAGCTTTCTAGCCATTGATTCAGAAAGAAGATGTGATTTTATTGTTTACTCACAAACAGTAGAATCATATGAGACAAATGAAGCATTTTGAGAAATATACGAATATGGGATCACAAGAAGCCACTGCTGCCGAAGGGGTTGTTGCTGTTATGTAGCTCATGGGCACCTGCATTAACCGGGAATTCCCCAAAACCCGTGGTGTTTGGCGGTTCTGAAATGGGGATTACTGGTAATGCCCCAGACCCGGAGGTGTTTGGCGATTCTGAAACCGACACTACTGGAAATTCCCCAAAACCGGTGGTGTTTGACGGTTCTGAAACTGGGATTACTGGTAATGCCCCAAACCCGGTGGTGTTTTGTGGTTCTGAAACCGGGACTACTGGAAATTCCCCAAAACCGGTGGTGTTTGGCGGCTCTGAAACAGGGATCTCGGGAAATGCCCCAAAGCCGGTGGTGTTCTGTGGTTCTGAAAACGGTACTGGAAATGCCCCAAAACTGGTGGTGCTTTGTGGTTCTGAAACCGGAACTATTGGAAACTCCCCAAAATCACCAAAAGGATTTGCAGTGCTGGGTGCAACCTGAACTTGTGGTTGCTGCTCTTGCTGATGATAGGTTGGCTGGTAGGGACCGAATGGGTTGTTTACGGCTGAAGGTGGTGAAACACTGTTTGAAAATGCAAACAGGTCTTGGACCTCAAACGGATTGGAAGCCGGGACGCCATAGGCAGGCTGTTGGGCAGCTCTGAAGGCTCCATCGTCATATAGACTGTTCAGGGTGAGCGTGTCTAATCCACCCGCCTTGCATTTGTTGCAGAAAAAAATGGTAATTATTAAGAAGCCACAAAATCAATTAACCAGCCCCAAAGTGACATATGTTAACAGGTCAATGGCACGTAATTGATGCATGCCATTATCACTAACGCAAGAATACATCTTACCAGTTGCCTCTCTGTGGCTGCAGATAGATCATTGCTAGGTGTTGTGACCAACGCAAGCTCCCATCCTGACGGATCCAAATCTCTTGCTTGACCAAAATCAAACGGCAAAGATTCAACTGGAAACAGAAACACAATGCGATCAAAGACAAGCAAGAAAGGCAAACGACTTATACCAAAAAAAAAAAGAAAGAAAAGCAAACTTAGCACTCCAGTATATAGTCCAAGAAGCTCACCATCAGTGGAAACTAAGGCCAAAGCTAATGCATTTTGGTCCAGAATTGCTAACGGATCAGGTGTATCATCATGCAGACCCTGAGTGTAACACGGAGAGAATCAGAGACAGAAGGATAATAGATAGAATAAAAAAATCAAGACCATATGTAATAAGCATATTTCACCAAAAGATCATCTGTATCAATAAAGTTCTGTGGAGTTTCTGCTGAAGGAAGCGGCTGGGGAGAAGGTAGTGTCTCTTCAGAGGTAACAATGGTACTATCTGAAGGCAATGATGTTTCATGTTCTTCATGTGAAGGTTCAACATCTTCAGAACTAAGCCCCTCATCCGGCGTATAGGTCAGAAGCTGTATGTTGACAAAGTTTTTAGAAATAAGTTAATACAAAAAAAATCATGGTTTCTGTAGGAGTAGGACCATAATGAGAGTATATATGTACCAGTGGCCCAGATGTGACGTCGACCATCTGAGGTGCGTCTCTCATATATTCCTCCATTGTTGTAAGAAAAGATTGTGGAGGCTTGAAAATACAAAAATAGAGTTACATCGTCATAATAACGTACATGCCATAACAAATTTAAATGTAACAAGCAAGTTATTATCTGATACCTCTCTTAAAACAGGAAACTGGAAATTCCTTGCAAGTTCTAATCCTTTGCATACTTCATAGAAAGCAGAAAGGTTGCCAGCCTGCATCGATAAACTAACCCTTGTTAAGTGAAATCTAATTTTATCTAACACCGAAAATAACCCAACAACATTACCTGCAAACCCGCACGCTTGTATATTTCAAGGGCCTTGATGGCCTCATGTCTAGGCATTTCAAAGAACTGCAATATATGCATGTACGAACAGTAAGAAATCTTAGAACACGTGAAGGAAGAGAGTTGGGGGGAAAGAAAAAACTGGGCCTACCTTTTCTACTAGATTGATGATTCCTTCATTGATGGCACAATACACTTTAAAACTCTCCTTCAATACCTGAATATACAATTTACAAACAGACCTCAGAACTTAATTCAAGCTGTTATTTCCAGATAGAACATATTTGACACAGCTAAGAACTAGCGGATATATGTAAAAATGTAGATTATGTGTCCGAGCTTAGTTTAATGTACCAGAGCGAGTGCATATTGAATGATATGATTGTGCTTAGCAGCACCTTCTGGCTGAAAAAGTCGAAAGAACAAAGTCAGTTCATTCGTCAGAGAAGGCTGCTCCAACACAATAGAAAATAATATGGGCTTTACAGAAACATAGTGCATGGCTCGGGAAATGACATCAAAGAAGCACCTTACAACCAATGAGACGATGCAGAAGCTGCTGTAAAGCTGGTAACTGTTCCAGGAGTTTTTCACCATCTAAATCCCTTGTTTTACTATACCCCTGATCATCAATTTCCAAAACCGAATACCATCAGGAAGGAAAGGAGGTAATATGAGGCCACAAAACCATCTAAAACGCAAAATTTGATACCTTCTCCTGCCCTGGGGAAACTTTTGGAAGACGTTCAGCCTCGATGTCATATTTCAGAACCCTGAAGCATTCAAGACGTTCCTCAAGAAATAATGCATAAGTGCGTACCCACCCTGAACAATCCCAGGCTGCAAGAAGCATAAAGCAAATACCCTATCAACAATAAATCTATGCAGAAACCTTGATAGAACCTCATTTGCTTCTTAAAAAAACATAGGCCCGTGAATGTAGCAGCAAGGACTCACCGACTGGGCTCGAGTCATCCTTGAAATTAGAAATTTGCATAATGCGTCCTTTCCGAGAAAAATTCAACAGCTCCTCTCTAAACGTCGGATCACCATCCCTCAGAAGCCGGTGTAAGACAAGTAGTGCTTTTAGTGCAACCTGTTGAAGCAAAATACACAATAAAACGATAAATCTAAAAGCCAAAAGAAAAGAATGAAAAACCTAACCAAAGCTATCATCAATACACAATCATCCAGATTCCAGAATGAAAGAGAACACATCTAATCATACTAAACGCTGCAAATTCCTATAATCACTTTGTTCCCCTAAAAAATTCAGATCATCATCCTCGAAAGGATAAATCAGATTACCGTCCAGTTTCTGGTTTTGTGCAATCGTCGGGATAGAGCATGAATGCAGTAAGCAACATCTGCTCGAGGCCGAATTGCTGATGTTGCAAGGAAAATTTCTGTAACCATTTTCCCAGAAAAGATATTTAGAAGAAAAAAAAAGCAATAAACAAATCTAAGAATTATGCAAAAAGAAAAAAAAGAAAAAACAAGTGACATACTCTTGAGATGACGATCTTTGGGAGGACACTCGACATGGTTAGTAGCTTTAACAATGGCAACATCTAATTCCTGAAATTTACAAGACCAAAAACTCTAAACTCTTCCAGTGATTGAAGAAGATGTATAAAAACAAATTCGATCAAAATTGAAATCGAAAGGCGCGTACGGCGTAATCGCTATTGACTCGGACAAGGCCGACTTTAGTGGTGTCTTTTAGGGCTCCATAAGCTCTTCGCCATGACTGAAGCGTTCCCATTGGAGACTAGGCCAATAACCGTTCAGATCTCTCGAATATGATGATTTGTCCCGAGAAAACCTCCGAGAAGAAATCTTAAGGCAAAGGCACGCCGCAGAGAGTGAGAAGAAAGAGGAAGAAAACTAAAGAAACGCAGATTTGGATTCGTCTCATCTTAATATTTGTTTCCTTAATTCGCGACTAATTGCTTTCTGATTTGTGTGTATTATTTATTAACTCTTTTTATTTTTTACTCTCTTTTGATCCTTTTTTTTTTTTAGTTGTTATTTTACTTCTTTCATTCTTTTTTGTCGGTTTTTTTCGGAAAAACGGTCTATTTCCCCACGAGAAGTATGACATCATAACAGATAGAGCCCAAACTTTAACCCCGATCTATATGTCTCTAAAATGATACTTCTCGATCTATATATTCCCGAATCGATAGTTTAAATCTTATATCTCCCTAAAATAATAGTTCTCATCTAATTATCCATAGCTATTGGTTTTGTTCGGTTTAATGTCTACTAAACCAATTTACAAAAATAATAAACCGGATTAAACCTAATCCAAACCCGATTACAATTGATTCTCTAATAACCCGACTATAAACCGATTCTCTAATAAACCCGATTTCAAACCCTTTTCGGTGAATGATCATCATCTTCGTCATCCTACATCAGAGATGAAACAGATCATCTCGTTTTACCAATCTTCCTCCAATGATTAAAATCTCTTTCTGATTTTAGACCCATCATTTTCTACTCTCTCCATTATGAAACAAAATCAATTGTTGGTGTTCTTCAACCTCACAGGTTCACAGTACCCAAAATCGAGACCAATGACTATCCAATTCCACAGCGGAGCAATTCCACGGCGGAGCCACCACCACCGACGTTCGTCGTCGTCATCCCAACACATGACTTGATGAAACAAAATAATCGGAGCTGAAGCAGATCCCTAATCTGAGACGAACTTCTTCGTCTTCCTCTTCGCTTCAACAACAGTGTCTAATTTTACTTATACTTGTGCTTTAAACTTTTCTGAGTCCTCTTTTAATTTTGTCATTGATTCTTCATCTTCTTCCTCTGAGTTTGTTTTTTTTCTCCGATCCCTTTGAGTGAAATTAAGGATAATTAGATTGAGATTTTTGCCATTGATTAATATGAGATCGTTTGTTATTACTTGAATTGTTCTTGAACTTGTTCGATTGTTTGTCTTGATTTCTCATTTTGCCTAATGAATCTAAAATAAATATGTTCCATTGTTGTTACTTCTCCAATGTTCCCGTCATTGTTGTACCCATTGGGAAAGAGATCAACTTGCAAAACTGAGAAAGAGGTCAAATTGAGAAATTTTAACAAATGGGTAACAAATTTGGAGATCATGGATGCGTACCTAGTGGCTAGATTAGAGTAAACCGATGGCCCCGAAGAGCACATTGACGTTAAAGAAGAAGAGAATGTTTGCTAGCTTCGGTGATTCAAACACCATGAATGAATAGAAGAGAACTCTTAATCGGAGGCTGGAGAGTAATTACGGAGAAAGGTGAGGTAGAAAAATTGTTATGATCTCATCCCCATCCAAATCGTGAAGCCATTAAAATGGTTTGGTGAAGAAGAAGAAGAAATTGGGTGACAAATGGTCGGGTTTTTGAAAGGGGTCGGGTTTTAATTTTGGTTATATTGAATTTGTGTGGTTTTCTATCGGGTTTAGTTCGTAAACCGATTAAATCCAGTTTTGTGGGGTTTTAGCTCTAAAACTATTGATTCGGAGACATTAAGCAATAGAACTTTCAATTTGGGGGGGAAATAGGGATAAAACTTTTATTTTATGGACATATAAACCGGGTTTAAAGTTTGGGCTCTATCTGTTATGATGTCATAGTTCTCGTGGGAAAATAGACCGTTTTCCCGTTTTTTTCACTTCATTCTTTTATTTTGTTTTTGGCTAACTAAAAACAAGTGTAACTTCAGTCGTATAAGTTATAACTATGATTATTCATCTTGGTACTTAACGTATGAGTCAATGATTTCCTTAAAATAATGATGAGGAAAAAGTGATTCTTAAATTAATTTAGACGCAAAGCATGTCGCTGGATATATAAGAGTGAGATTATTATTATTTGACTCGATTTTGAATCGAATCCACGGACCCTTATTTGTTCTTATGTTATGTGTCAGCAACTCTTCTTTCATATACCCATGCTTGTATACGTCTCCATAACTTCATACTAAAATTGTATATATCCAGAGCCGTGCCAACGTCCACAATCAACAGAAGCAATAAAAAATTAAATGTCCCTCTTATAAAAAAGTTTTTACAATAATTACTATCATGAATATCAAAAATATGTAAATGACTAAAATTACCCAACAAATAGTTGTAGTCGCATTTTTTTCTTTCTTTTCAACATAATCATTAACTAAATTCTTAAAATCAAAGTTTATAACTAATATATTTATACTTCATGAATGAATGGCTAAGTCATTCAATACGTCATGTGGTACACTCAAGTTGATATACGATAACCAATTCAACAATCTTATTTCATAGATAAAATGGCTAAATCATTTAATATTTTTCTATTATATTGTTTATATAGCTATTTATAAAACCATCATTTTTATTGTGTAAACCATAAATATCAAAAAGGTTTCAATGTTTAAGCATATGTTTCTATAGCCATATTAATTGATATGAGTACAAATAAATAAAAATGAAAAATATGCCCCTAAAATTTTCCAAAAATTTAGATGCCTTAAGGCAATGTTTCATTTTTTTACAGTGTGGCACGGCTTTGTATATATCAATATATCACCGTTTTAATTTTTAAGTTAAATTATTGGACCTTAGATGACCTTTTGTGGCTAATTGTCATTTTTTCTTTTCACATTATTAAATTGTGATTTCTAAACTTTTTTTTTTTTCCAAACACCATTTTATTAAGTTGTCGGATGGAGGCTTTCCTATAAAGAGAGCTAATTCGGAACTGATGTGAAAATAAAGAACCTCGTACTCTTACCTTTTTTGCGAGCCAATCGGCACGGACATTGTTAAATTGTGATTTCTAAACTATACGAATCAAATTAGGTAGTCCTTGATTTTAAAATATTACTTCACTAGCTATATCATTTTTATTTATTCATTTTTGTGTTATCATAATGAAAGTGGGGTTGTCGTTTTCCAAAAGCATTCTTTTATGGGTCTTTTTTCCTACTAAAGAAGTTGTGGAAAAGCATCACCACCAATACTGGTGCGGGACAGAAACATAGTCATAGAGTTATAGGTGCAGCTCTAGTTATATCAATACTCTCGTTGACATTTTCGGTTGGTAGATTGAATAATAGGTTATCTTCATTTTGCAAGTTGCACGAATTCGTTACCAACATGGATGTAGTTGTCAACATATTCTCGTCCTATGTTTTATTCATTCGGTTTGTTGTATACAGATTTTGAATGGCAAACCACAATGAATGCAACTTACCGGATCAGCACAAATGTGTTGTCACTTGTCACTTTACCATATTCTCATACGTTTACTTATTGGATCAAGCCCATTTATGTAGTAGTATGCAATATAGGACAGGACTATAGTCCAATGTTTCACGCATTAACAAGCCCATCAAATTTTTAAGTCTTTTGATCCCAACTCGGTCTCGGCTAGTTTTGCACTTCCGTGTCCAGTGTCCACAACGGTAAAAGATACTATGAAACAACGATGTTTTAATGACACAATCATCAAATTAACGAGGATAACGGTGGCTGGTTAACATCGTTCCTTTCTTATCCGCATGCATGATAGCGCGCGTGATACTTTTCTTGGGTTAAGTAACTTTCATTTTCATGGTTCTTTAAGCTACTTTTAGCTTTTTACTAGTAGATAGATAGAAATGCATTGGAATATATTAGTGTAAGGAGTAAGGACGTATGATGTATTTTGAATTCATTCAAGTAGGTTATAAGATCAAATGATTTAACTATACGTTTTGTTTCCATGTAAATAAATGGGCAAGTTGAATAAAAACAAAGACACCTCTTTCTTATTCATCACGTGATCAGCCGCCAACGAAAGCAAATATGGTTCTACTCCTCCTCGCTCCCTCCGATGGGTTCGTGAATCGAGAAGATAATATCATGAATACTCAAAAGTCTATGTATAAGTAAAATATCTTATAATAAGAATTAAAAATGTAATAAAAATGTAAATTCAGCAAAGAAAAGCTATAAATTTACAAAAATAACGGTGAAAACGTTACGCAACAACATAAAAAAATTGATTGTAAAACAAAGGATAATACTGTTTAATTTGTCATAAAAATGAATATACTACGTACGATTTTATGAAATTATGTGGCTAAAATAAAACTAGAATCGTAAAATCAAATATTTCTTTTCCATATGCAAGTTAGCCACTAGAGCCGCAATCAATCTGGCCGCAATTCTAAAATTTGACATCAGGATGCAAAATGTGAACTTCACATGGGCAGTGTTTTCGTCGGAGTCTAGAGAGAGATTCATGAATCTGGTAAATGTGAACATATATATAAAAATAAAATTGAAGCAAGAGTACATGTGATATTTGATGTAGGGACACGTGCGTATAGTCTCACACCATTATGTTTTTATATTCCCCCACCCCAAGGACATCGCACGACACCTTGTGTCAGTCCAGTTCCAGATTTGCCGGCTTTATATTTTCACTATGCTATTAAATGTTAAAATGTAATTTAATCATCCGCTTAATGTCTACAACAAATTTAACAAAAGCATTGTTTCCTGTTAATTTAGAATACTCATTTGTGCTTCGAATTGCGAAGGCGGTTTGGATGCAGATGTTGGAGATACAATCCAAGTCCCACATCGGAAGTTTGATGGGACAATCAATAATATATAAAGAGTTAAGGCCAATCCACTAATTGCCAATTGGTTTTTAGTTGGAAGCCCATAATTAGCCCAAATTTAACATGGTATCAGAGCCCAAAGTTCAAATTCTGGTGGACCTAGAAAAGTGGATACGGACATACCTCAAACCCGAGTAATGGGGGCCCGAGAAAGGGGCTTATTATCGGTCCGAGTGAGGGATCGAGGAGGTGTGTTAAGATCCATGTGGTCCTTGGATTGAAGGAGAGATTGTTGGAGATACAATCCAAGTCCCACATCGGAAGTTTGATGGGACAATCAATAATATAT